CTAATGGGTCTGTTTGAGCCCAGAGACACGAAGTATGATGTCAGTCAAGGCCCCACCCAGGACCCCTCCTAGGACCTTGTTGGAAATGACAGAAGCACCCCTCCGCATGCTGAGCAGGAATCCTCTAAGTGGCGGGGGTCCACATCGACCATGGTCACCATGATGGCACAGCATACCTGGCATTGACTGAAGCCTTCATGTTCGACACCATTGAGAGGGTGGGGAAACACACAAGTGAGGAGGATACATTGACCATTGCCACTGCTGACCACTCCCATGTCTTCTCTTTTGGAAGCTACACAAAACGAGGGGCCTCTACCTTCTGGCTGGCGAACAGTAAGGCGGCCGATGACCAGACTGACACCTTCATCCTGTATATAGCAACAGGCCCGGTTACGTCGGTACCTGTCCCCAGCCCTAAGTCACCGAGGACATTAGCACGAATCCCGTCTACAAGCAGCAGACGGCAGTCCCCTGTCGTTTGAGACAAGCAGTGGTGAGGACGTGGCTGTGTTCGTGCGCTGGCTGCAGGGACACCTGGTGCAGGGCGTCAAGGAGGAGACCTTCATGGCACACACCACGGCCTTGGCGCCTGCCTCAAGCCCTACATGACCTGTGACCTGGCGCCTCCCAACCGCACCACCCGAGCCACGCCCCCACCCCCACCCCCAATGCATCCTCCGTTGCTGCTGGCTGGGGCGCTACAGCTGGGGCTGCTCTTAGCGCCCGCCTCCTGACCACTGGTGCGTTGGCCCCCATGTTGCCCAGCCGCCGCCTCCCCAAGATCCTATGTCCACATTTCATGTCACCCCACCTCCTCAGGGAACCCGGGTGACAACGGACTTCAAAGTCACCCCCTACAAAGCTGCCCCCATTCCAGCTGCTCTCCTGGTGTGAGGGCCTGGAAGGCCCTCAGGGGTAGGGTGACAGGAGTTAGTGGTAACTTTCTTGCAACACCCATGGTCCCAACCTCCGGGGTTGCTCCTAAACTCTGATCCCCAGTGCACAATGCAGTCTGGGGCTCCAGGACAGAGGAGGCAGGCAAGTATCAAACCATCAACAAGGCCTGCTCAGAGTCTTCAGCGGTCTCTCCCGGCTTCAGTTCTAACTCGGCCCTGGGCCTTCTGGGGGATCATTTCCTCCATTCCAGCAATCTGCTGGGAGCAGCACACCTGCTGCCCAAGACGCTGAGGGCTGTGCACCCTCAGGGCTGGTTGGACACAAAGTTCACGGCAGCCCCGGGGCCAATGGAAAAGTGTGTGAGTTATAAAAGGATTTAAAACTCGAGGAAGAAAGCTTTAACAAAGACTGTGCTGTGATTTAGTAGTGCTGGTTGCACAATCTTGTGAATTTAATAGCCATTAAAATGTATATTCTAGAAAAGAGGCCTTTATGCAAATTATATATTTACATATATTACTCTATATGTAAATAATAAAAACTTGCTGCATTTTCTGTTTCCAAAAAGAACATCATATATGAAGACAGCAAAAGGTCATTAAAAGGAGAGAAAAAAACAAAATATATGTGAGAAGAGATGTTGAAACTTGCTTCTGAATGTAGAGGAGCTAAAGCAAATAGAAGAAATGAACAAAAATTTAAAAGGGCAGCTTGAGAAGACAAACCCAAATATTATAACGAAATGTGCAAAGAATTGGAGTCAGAAAATCAAAAGAGAAGAACACACGCAGCATTTCTCAAACTTTAAGAACGGAAGAAAAATTCAAGCCTCAGTTTGCAATATTGAAGTGCAAAATATTGAATGATGCAGAAAGCATCAAAAGAAGATGGCAGGAATACATAGTCACTGTATAAGAAAAAAATCGATTGATGCTCAACCATTTTAAGAGGCAGCATATAATCAAGAAATGATGGCATTAAAGGACAAAATCCAACTACACTGAAGACATTGGCATAAACCAGGCTATTGGAATTGACAAAATACAAATGGAAAAGTTAAGTTTTAATGTCATTGCCACTAAGTATCTAACAAAAGTAACATCCAAATAAATAACATTTGAAAAATGTTCTCAAGTCCTAGTCCATCCATTCCTCCAGAGAGGAACGAACTGATGCATTACTGCTGGAGGTGTTCACTCATCTATGCCAAGAAATTTGAATGAGCCTGCTAGACAATTGGAAGAGATCCATTTTTGTGCCCATTCCAAATAAAAGTCACCCAAAGAAATGAGGAAATCATTTAGCAAAATCTTTAATATAACACGCAAGTAAAATTTTGCTGAAGATAATTAAAAATTGGCTGCAACAGTACATTGACATGGAACTGCCAGAATTCAAGCTAAATTCAGAAGAGGATGTGAAACGAAGGATATCACTGCTGACGTCAAGTGGATCCTGGCTGAAAGTAGAGAAACCAGAGAGATGTTTACTTAGGCTTTAAACCAGAGAGATGCTTACTTGTGCTTTATTGACTATGCAAAGACCTTAGACTATGTGGATCACAACAAACAATGAATAACATTGGGAAGAATGGGAATTCCAGAATACTTAATTTTGCTCACAAAAAACCTGTCTGTACACAGACTAAGAAAAACTCATTCAACTAAAACAAGGGGAAAACTGAATGGTTTAAAATGAGGAATGATGTGAGTCAGGGTTGTATTCTTTCACTATACTTATTCAAAATGTATGCTGAGCAAATAATCTTAGAAGCTAGATTATCTGAAGATGATCCTTTTGCCATCAGTGTCAGAGGAAAATTCATTAACAACCTTCAACATGCAGATGACACAACATTACTTGGTGGATGCCAAGAGGTCTTGAAATACCTACTGATGAAAATCAAAGATTACAAGCTTCAGTATGCGTTTCACTTCAATGTAAAGAAAATGAAAATCCTCACAAGTGGACTAGTAAGTGACATCATTATAGATAGAGAAAAGATTGAAGTTGTCCAAGGCATCATTTTGCATGGATCCACAATCAGTGCTCATGGAACGAGCAGTCAAGAAATCAAAGAACATATTGCATTAGACAAATTTGCTTCAAAAGACCTCTTTAAAGTGTACAAGAGCCAAGATGTCAGTTTGAGGACTAAGGTGTGCCTGACCAAAGACATGGTATTTTCAGTAGCTTCATGTGAATGGAGCTCTGGTAGCGTAGTGGTTACGAATCGGGCTGTGAACCTTAAGGTCAGTGGTTCGAAACTACCAGCCGCTCCACGGGAGAAAGATGAGGCTTTCTACTCCCATGAGGATTTACACCCTCGGAAACCCTGTACAGGGTCGCTATGGGTCGGAACCGACTCTACGGCACTTAACAACAACATATGCATGTGAAAGTTGGACAGTGAATAAGGAAGACTGAAGAAGAATCAATGCATTTTAATATGGTGTTGGTGACAAATAATGACAGTAACATGGACTGCCAGAAGAACAAACAAACGTGTCTTGGAAGTATAGTCAGAATGCTACTTAAAGTGAAGATGACATGGAGACTTAAGTCTTTTATATTTTAGACCTGCTGTTAAGAAGGATTAGACAACACCTAGCAACAACAAAATTTAAGTTACATTTTTCTTGACATGAATGAAAACTGAATTCTTTTGACTGTGGATATACTGATGACAAGCATCTAAAAAAAAAAAACAATGAGTCTTATCTCTATTCTAATTTGACTTCCAAAGTTTGTGTGAATATTATTTAGAATAGAATGGACTCTAGTAATTAATGACAAAGTAAATATGAAACTGGAAAGGTCTACATCTGGCAGTTTCAAACAGATATAAAAATTAGTATGTTAGAAAAGATCATAAACTGAATAAGAAATGTTTTAGGCTTACCACTAGCTAGTACCTAAATGATAGGGATGAAGCCATCATACCTGTCCTTGAACATAACCAAAACTGCATGTGACTTAGGTCCCACACCCTAACAAAACTGGCTTTACTTTCTATAAACCTCTTCAATACTCCAGTCGCATCAACCTTTCTACTGTTGAACACACAATAAATTCACTCCTGCACTATAACTTATAAACTTAATATATCCTTTGCCTGGAACTAGTCTCTGAAATCTCAACATGGTCTCTTTTTTAACATTTAGTTTTGCTAAATGTTGAAAAAGAGACCGTGACTGCCAAAGATTGCCACATTGTTGGCAATCTTTTCTGAAGCAACAACAAACATATGTTTCTGTTTTATTTCCCTTTTTATTATCTTATTACTATCATAATTTATTTTATGTATTTACTTTATTATCCATTAGAGTGTACGTTCTACAGGAACAGAAACTTGTTTTTTGCTTTTTTTCCAACATTGCTCAATAAATAACTTCTCTACCACAAAATCCATGCACTTCTCTTACATAATAGTTCCTGAGGTTCTTAGTTATATATGTTATTTATTATATTAAAGACAGGTATTTATTATTTATCTATTTTTCTAGTCCCCAGCAACAGATAACAAGAAAAAACATAAATATACAAACAAAAAATTGTTAAATTGGATACAAATACTAAAAGTACAACAGTTTGGACTGTTTTATGTAAAATCTATAATTTTTAAAATGACTTTGAATCAACAGATTCCCCTAGTCTCCCTTACTCTGTTTTATTTTCCTTCATAACATTCAATCTTCAGCTGACATTTTACATGTGTATGTGTTTATTTATTATCTGCCTCACCTACTACAGATAGGTTTTTTTGAGAGCAGGAGAATTGTTTGGTTTGGTTAATGTAGTATCCCTAACATCTAGAACAGTACCTGTTCTTAGCAGACTCTCAAAAAAATCCATTCAATGAATAAATAAATGTATCAAAACACAAGGTAAATTAAGGTCAATATGTTCTATCTAAATTTGCTTGACTCTATTTTTTAAAATAATATTATCCAAAATAGTTCAAGTCTTTTTAAATGGATAAGCTCTCTTTGATCTAAAAAAATTTGGAATACTCCATTTTCTCTATAATTTCCCATACACGTGATTGTCAAGGCAATTGCTTTTGAAAACTACAAATAATTGGATTTTCTTCATCTCACCGGAAATTGAAAAATATCCTGAAAGTCTGTAGTAAGTAGTAATATTTTCTTTCCATTAGCCACTCCATAATAGGTAAGAGTTCTGTATGTTCTGTATTACCTACTTTAGTAACCTGCAAATATAAAGCACAAAATACAAGGGGGGGGGGGGTGCTCAAAAAGTGTGTGGAAAATCAAATTAAAGTAATATGTGGTTTTTCCCATGAACTTTTTGAAGCACCTTCATATTATTATTTCACAGCACTTTGATACTTACTACAAGTTATAACTATATAGTTCTTTGACCATTTATTTAATGTTTGTCTGACTACCCCTGCTTTCCCAGCCTCCAAACTAAACTCTAAGTATGCAAGGGTAGGGTCACCTCTGTATGAAATAGACCAGTATGTGCAGATAAGGAAATAGTTCTAATCTGTATCACTAAATGTAATGGTTAGGGCTTTGTGCAAATTGATGAGGCCAGGATTTCCAGACGTTTAGCAGTTGGGATGTGCTTATTCCCATGGTGATGAAACCTAATACAGGTTATAGTTAACTCTATCAGTGTCTATGAGCAGCCAGTCAACTAAAGGGATGCTTTCTTGGGGGTGTGGTCTTCTCCCAATATAATGGACATGCTGAAGGGACTCACTGTCTTTCACTGGGGACCTGAGACTCTACGATTATAAGATAATAAACATCTCTATATATGTAATATGTATGTTTTACTGGTTTTGCTTCTCTAGAGAACCCAGCCTAAGACATGTGGTACTGAGAGAGTGGGGCTATAGAAAAACAAAGTCACAAGGATGCATTTTATAAATTAGTTCTCAAGTCTGACTAATATTAAGGGTACTGATCAGCCTTGGGCTGATTTTGAGTTTGGTCCACTTTCCCACTTGTGCAGTTAGAGGAAGTCAGACATGGTCTCCACTTGATTTAAGATCTGACCCCGATAACAGGATTTATAGCAATAGCTCCAGACCTATGAAATTGTGAGGTTTTGTGGGACAAAGAACAAAGGAGCATGGGATAAAATATTTCAGCAGAGGGGACAACTATACTTTCTGGAGTTACCTGGAGTCAATGTCTTTGTGGTTAGGTGCCATAGAGTCAGTACTGATTCATAGTGACCTTAATGCAAAGCAGAACGAAACACTGCCCGATTCTGGGCCAACCTAACTACTGTTGCCACGCTTGAATTCATCGATGCTGCCACTTAGCCAATCCATCTCATTGGGGGTCTTCCTCTTTTTCTATGACTCTCCACCTTACCAAACATGATATCCTTCACCAGTGACTGGTCCATCTGACAATATGTCCATCTTGGCCTCCAAGGAGCACTCTGGCTGCACTTCTTCCAAAATGGTTCTTTGGCAGTCTATGTCACTTTTAGTACTTTCCTCCAACACCATAACTCAAATGCATCAATTCTTCTACAGTATTCCTTATTCACTGTCCAGCTTTTGCATGCATATGAGGTTATTGAAAATACCATGGCTTGGGTCAGGCACACCTTAGTCCTCAAGCTGACATCTTTGCTCTTCAACACTTTCAAAAGGTCTTGTGCAGCAGATTTGCCTAATGCAATATGTCATTTGATTGCTTGACTGCTGCTTCCGTGAGTGTTGATAGTTGATCCAAGAAGAATGAAGTTCTTGACAGCTTCAATCTTTTCTCCCTTGATAAGAATGTTGCTTATTGGTCCAGTGGCGAGGATTTTTGTTTTCTTTACACTGAGATGTAATCCATATCTAAGGCTGTACTCTTTGATCTTCCTTGGTAAATGTTTTAAGTCCTCTTCACTTTCAGCAAGCAAGGTTGTATCATCTGCATATCGCAGGTTGTTAATGAGTCTTCCTCCAATCCTGATGCCATGGTTTTCTTCATATAACCCAGTTTCTCAGATTATTTGCTCAGCATACAGGTTGAATAAGTATGGTGAAAGAATACAACCTAGTCGCACACCTTTCTTAATTTTAAACCATTCAGTGTTCCCATGTTCTGTTCGAACAACTGCTTCTGGGTCCAGGTACAGATTCATCATGAGCACAATTAAGTGTTCTGCAATACTCATACTTTGCAATGCTGTCCATAGCTTGTCATGATCCACACAATCAAAAACCTTTGTGTAGTCAATAAAGCTTTCAGCCAAGATCCATCGGATATCAGCAATGATAGCCCTCATTCCACGACCTCTTCTGAATCCATCTTGAACCTCTGGAAGTTCTCTGTCAATGTATGCTTAAAGCCGTTTCTGTATTACCTTTAATAAAACTTTATTCGCATGGGATATCAAAGAGATTGTCCAATGATTTCCATGTTCTGTTGGGTCACCTCTCTTTGGAATGGGCACAAATACGAATCTCTTCCAATCATTCAGCCAGGTAGTTGTTTTCCAAATTTCTTGGCAGAGCTGAGCATGCTCACTTTCTTGAAAGATTTAAATTTTTATTCCATCAATTCCTGGTGCCTTGTTCTTTGCCCTTTCCTCAATGCACCTTGGACTTCCTCCTTCAGTATCATTGGCTCTTGATCATATGCTACTTCTAGAAATGGTTGAACATCAACCATGTCCTTTTGGTACATTGACTCTGTGTATTCCTTCAATCTTCTCTTGATGCAGAATGCATCATTCAATAATTTACCCAGAGAATCTTCCAATAACAAAAGTCGAGGCTTGAATTTTTTCTTCAGTTTCCCCAGCTTGAGAAATGCTGAGCGTGTTCTTCTTTTTGGTTTTCTGATTCCAGAACTTTGTACATTTTGTTGTAATATTCGGCTTTATCTTCTCTAGCTGATCTTTGAAAATTTCTGTTCAGTTCTTGTACCGTTTCATTTCTTCCATTTGCTGTACGCTGGAGAGTAAGTTTCAGTGTGTCTCTTCTGATATCCATTTTGACCTTTTCCTTCTTTCTTGTGTTCTTAATGCCTTTTTGCTTTCTTCGTGTATGATGTTCTTGATGTCATCCCATAACTCTTCTGGTCTTCGGTCTTTAGTGTAGAATGTATCAAATCTGTTCTTCAGATGATCTCTAAATTCAAGTGGGATATATTCAAGATCATATTTTGGTTCTCTTGTACTTGTTTTCATTTTCTTCAGCTTCAGTTTGAATTTGCATATGAGTAATTGATGGTCTGTTCCACAGTCTGCCCCTGGCCTT